CCGACACACAACAACAGCCAAGGATATCTCGAGGGCGTGTCCTGGCCACGGATGACAGTGCAAAGGAGCAGTTGAGCTGCTGGTCGAGCAGCGAGCAACTGGCTTGCCAAATTGCGATTACTCAACAACAGAAGCGGCGGCGGCTGACTGACCAGAAAACGATTTGGCCGTTGCCTACTTATTGGCCATTGATTTCTGAAAAATGGGCCAGGCCAAGAGGAGGCCAATTTGTGGGCCAATTTAATGCGTTATGATCTTTACGAGGGGAGCGCACTCCTTGAAACCATTTCCAGGACCTGCCTGCCTGCTCCTGTCGATTACATTTTGAGCCTCTCCATCGAGGCGAGACCGAATCATTTGCCATAACACTTTGCCAATGGTTTTCTTTCCTCCACCAGCATCCTTTCTGCTCCTTCGCTTCGATTTTTCCCCCTTGTAGTAGTAGTTTTTGTTTCGTGTACGAACATCTTTATGGGTAATTAAAACTTTTACCCATTTTTGGCCGAAAGTTGGTTTTTGTTTTGCCCAATACCCAATACCCATACCAATTCGAATCACAATCCCCATTAGCCTTTCACAGCTCTTGTTCGATCCACACTCGCTTCCTGTGCTCTAGTCAAATTTATTGCTGTTCAATAATACCAATTTTTGGCCTTTCTTTTGCCGGAGATGCCAACAGATGTGTTGGCAAACTATTTCGACCCAGAATAGTTTTCGGAGCACGTTTGTGTTCACACTCGAGTGTTCCACATTATTGAAATTGAAGCGCGGTAATGTGTCTGCAATTTTTGGTCTCGGCTTCCCGTTCCGCCCAACTTTTGGCATTCCGCGCTTGGCAAATTATTTTCGGCTGCCAATGTTCGGCGCTTATCTCGGCAACTTTCGAATTATTTGTGGCCCCAACTTTGTGTTCCGTTCCGCCAAGTGCAGTTCCTTCATATCGATAAGAAGTGCAAATAATGGCTGGGAAGGGGGAAAAGGAAATGAACCTATTTGCAGAAGTCTGGGCAAAGTATTGTTTTCTTAAGGAAAGCTGGGCTTGCATACCAAGGAAAACATTATTTAATCATAGGTTTAAAATAAAAATTGACAAATACAAATGTCATTCTTAAAATAATTCATTTTGAATGAGCTTTAAGGACCTATGATTTTGTGGAAATATAGAATTTAATAAGCTTTAAGGAAAACTTTTTCAATATCTAAGTAAGCACTCATGTTTTAAATCTTTTCAACTCAAACTGGATCTGGGCCAACTGAACCATAAAGCTTTGAATGAACTTATTGTTGGCTGGCGAACCTCGGCAATCGTAGCCATCTTTTAACCCTACCCATAGGAAAACCCCCGACCCTCCGGGAAACCAGCTTTCCTACATTATCTGCTGGGTGGAAGGACCCGGACTTATCACAAATTTTCGAGTATTAACGCATCGTGGGGAAACTTCCGCTTGTTTGCCGAGCGGCTTAGAAGACTCACAAGCACACACACACACCGCCATCACACCCGCACATCCGCCAAGACAAATTGCAGATTGGTAGACTCGTTCGCAGGACCTGCTCGCCTCCTTGCCATCTAGTCACTCGCTTCTAACTCGATTCGCCCTCGGGTGCGTGGAACAAAGGAAAATCCATATTTTATTTTGATTATTTTCCGGCGCCTCGGCAGGTGTCGATTTCGTGTGATTTTTCTTTTGGGGCGAAATTAAATTTAGCCAGGGACTTTCCCTGCCGCCTTCGCACACTCAAATCAGCGTCAATCAATTTTGGTCGCTTTCGTCAGACAAAAACAAGGCTCGCCCGCCCACAAACGAAACCGCCCACCTGAAAGTCTCCCTTTGTAATGGGAAAAATTATTGAATTTGTCAACGACTGCCGCAGGCGCTTGGACCAAAAAATTAGGGCTGGGAGAAGAGAGGGCTTTAAGCAGCCCAGGCCCAAAATCAGAATTAAAGAGCCACGAGATTTATGCGACTGATGTAGGTGTTAGGCAAACAGAATTATGTTTGGAACGATTTTCCACCTTAGCCGTCATACATCATCGGGGGGTTTCAACCTACCACGCAACAAAAGCTGGCAAAACAACCCTCCAACGTTAACAAATTTCTTTGCGACGTTTTTAAATTTTATTTTTTGTGCGTTGTGTGTTGTGTGTTGATGGCTAAGGGGAGCGGCTAATGTAAATCGCATGTGTGTGTATGACCTACGCCTTATTTAGTGAAGGGCCCCAAACCCCAGAGCCAAGTGATTTGTTGACAAAGAAATTTTTTAATAATTCACCGAGTCAGGAGCGAGCGGAAATCTCATTCAGCATAAGTGATGATGTAATTTTCGCTAAAAATTGAAAAAATCTCCACGCAGGCAGGAGCAATTTGGGAGGTGAAAGGGGGGAAGCTACGGTAACCCCTCACGTAAAATATGTTGCAACAATATGTTGAGTTAGAGTTGAGTTGAGTGTGTGCCACTGACGATGATGAATGGGGCACGCATGCGTTGCACTGATTTCACTGACGGACTGGCTGACAATCCCGTCACGGTTCCCTGCAAATTATGTGACCCTTCCAAGGTCCTTGTTGCTACTTTATCATTTGGTAAAGGAGTTGAAGCTGGAGTTCATAATGTGTCCATGTGCAAAAAGAGTCAGGCAACCCTATTGATAAAAGCTGCTTATGGGAACCCTATTACTAGATATCATTATTTCTTCTTAAAATAAAATATATACTTATTGAAAAACCTCTTACAATTATTTCAGAACCTTTCTGAAAATGGAAAAACTTATACTTCACCTCTTGTCCAATGACTGGAACTCAATAAAAAAGGAACTGCAGGCCATTGAACCCTGTAATGGGAACCCATTACCGGACCAGCAGTGGTTAAACTCCTCCCCAAACTCAAGAAACTCCCTCAGAAGAACGTTGATGACTCAATATTTTCCTCAGGGAAGTGAAATTCCTTTTCCTGAACGTAATTCTTCTCCCCCCGAAAATGATAGTTGGAAGCTGGACAACATTTAATGCCTGCTGTCGATGGTCATGTGCATAGCTCATTAGTTTTTGCCTAATTTGAAAGGCAGGCGTTCGGTTCGATTCGTTGCCTGGCCTAATGGAATTCAATCAATTTCCATTTATTTCGATAGCGAAAGTCGCACCACCAAGTCAACCGAGGGGCAGAAAACTTGGGTCCAGAGGAGGCAACTGAAAAATTTCTTAATTATCCTGACGTGACGCTTGTGGGCGGCTTGGTTGACAAGCTTTTTAGCCTCCGTGGCTTTTCCCTCCCTTGCCAATTTGTGGCCAGTCTGTTTTCTTAATGCTTGCGGACAAAGCAAGACAAATGAGTCGGAATCAGTAAGGAAAAATGTTCAAATAAAACACTTTAAGATGAAGAAAAATAAGCAGAAAATCAGCAAATCGAAGAAGACATTTCACTTCTTGACACTCGAAAATAATTTAAAGTTATATGATTTTGATTGTGGGCAAATTGTTTTTTTTTTTTCGATAAAAAATCCCCGTCGAAAACAATATGCCACAAATGTCAATACAACAATACACGGAGCCAAAATGAAAATCCTCAAAACATTCTCCGCCATAAGAGAAAACGGCGAAAAAGGATGGAAATGGTGAAAAGCGTATAATCTGCTTATCAAGGGGTTGCAGCCCTTTTCCTCCAAGGATTCCTTCTTTTTCTAGGGACGAGAGCAACTGTTCCAAGAAAAATGAAATGAAAATTGTAAACAAAAGGAAGTGAAAATTTGATTTGCATTTCTAGCACAAGATGAAGCTAAAATTCAATTGTTCTCAATTGTAGGTTTCATTATGTCTTTGTTATTTAGTTTTATTTATTTTTTTTACTATATTACCAAACTGATTTTTCCTAAACGGAAGATATACTTGTTTTGCTTTAGTTTTTGTTATGCAAATTCGGTAAACAAATGCTTTATTTGAAAATTCTCTTCTTAAAAATTTTTCAAACCTTTTAAATTAGTTACTTATTTTGTTATTTGAATATATTAAAAAACTTGATTTAATTGAATAGCGTCAGACGATTTACTTTTAAGTAATACATTTAGTCACTAAAAATGTTACTTAGCTATAAAAATGTGCAACAAATTGCACAGATATTAAATTGAATTCATATGAGTCAGTATTTCTGTGGAATTTAAGCCACCTGAAGATTATGCAAGACCTAAAGAGGCTCTAAAAAGCGTATACTGAACCGACACAGGAAGGGCCCTTGTAAACCAAAGGAAAGTGAACAAAATCTGTAAGTTAAATCTGAATGAACCAGAGGCTGAAACAAGAGCAGCGTTCGAAAGGGAAACAATCCGAGAAACCGAAAAAGATGCAAAAGCCCAGATGCAGAGGCAACTTTGCGCCTCAATTATAATGAGAAAAGCAAACGAATTGGAAATAATTTTCAATTCACTTGTTTCCCACCTACTTTCGTGGACCTTTGCGCTTATTCGGTTTGCGATCTTCAAATATTTATGCGCCCTTTGTTTTCATTATTTATTTGACTCGCGAACTTTTGCATGCATCCCGAAATCGAAATCAGAAACTGAAACCGAATCAGGCGCTCCTTTTTTGGCCAACTGGCAGCCCGTGGGTATTTTAAGGGTACAAGGCTATTGATAAAGCTGTTAATTTTTTTAGGAACGGAGGATCTCGTGTCTGTAGGAGTGGCTTGTTTGCAAACGATAAGGGAAACTCCTGCGGCAAAATAATGAATTATTTATGTACGCAAGGTTAAAAACAGAGGGCAGCCAAATGCATAACTGAATGAATACGTTAAGACCGAAATTAATTGGGTTGGACTACCTAAAGAAAGGCGGGGATAAATGCAGAATGCAGCTTATTCGGGATTCGATTCTGAATTAAAACTGAGCTTGCCCAATGCTTTGAATTAATTGTATATAAGCGATTTCGGCTTGCAGATACTAAATTATAAAAGCAATGACTAATTTGATAAATATTTAAACAAATATATAAACAAATAATAAAGAAATGTTTTCAAAAATGTTTGCAAGGTCTAAAATGACATCGATTTCTTGCTAATATTTATGATATTTTGATTTGGAACATGGTAAAGATGCATCATTTGCATTGCGATATTCATACATTATATAAAAATCTCGGCAGGACGTGGTGAAAACTGTCAACACATTGCAACAGCAATGCAAATTGCCAAAATAGTCTGTCAAATATAAAACAAGAACTGTATGAAAAGATGTTTTGGTTTCATAGTAAAACCTAAAACGGAGAGACGAATCAGCGAGACCGCTTTGGCTCCTGTCTGGTTTCCTGATCCTGGCGGCGTTTATAAGGGGGCTGCTGTTGGAAACGAAACTGGAGGCCATTGGAGGTGCGATGGCTCTCAGCCTGGCGTTCGGCGTACTTGACCGTTATGGGCTTATAGGCGCCGTTCAAAAGGTGCTGATCCAGGTTGTGCCTGGCCATCTCAGCATCCCGATAATGCTCGAACCGCACGAAGGCCACGCCACGGGATCTTTTGGTGTACTTGTTCCGCAGGACATTCACATCCATAACGGGGCCGTAGGAGGAGAACAGGTCGCGCACTCTCTGCTCGTCCATGAAGGCCGGCAAGTGGGATATATAGAGGTTGCTATTCCTGTTAAGATCTCCCGGTGGTCGGGCGTAGGCCACCCTGAGGTTCTTGTTGCGCACCTGGTATCCATCGAGGGCGTTCACGGCCGCCGTCGCCTGGCGGGCGGAGATGAACTCCACGAAGCCGTAGCAGGCACTCAATCCCGAGTCGACATGACGCACAACCTTGTGCTTCCGGATCTCGCCGAAGTTGGAAAACAAATCATACAACTCCGATTCCATCATGTCCTGCGGCATGTAGTTGATGATCAGGTTCGTCAGGTCTCCACGTCTTGCGATTTCATCCACGCGCGGTGGCGTTCGTCCTCCGGTTGGGGATCCTTCAAAGCTGGCAAAACTCCATTGCACCTTCTGGTGACTTGAATCCTGGGCACTAAATCCTGGCGGGGAGGTTTTTCGGTTGATGCCCCTGCCCTTCTGATTACTCGGGCTCGTTCCACGCGGCTCTCGGTCTGGCGACATTTTTGAGTTGATCACCGACTTGGGTCTCATGCTGTCCTCGGTTACGGTTCATAGAAAATAATTAAAAAATAAAATATTCCAGCCAATTTTTAAGTACGTACTTAGTACTCATTATAAATATGTTTATGAGGCTTTTCGAACGGATAAAATAAATTACGAAGGTTCCAAAATCTGCTGTCAAATAAAATAAGGCTTATGACTTTACAACACTATCTGATTGATGTTAAAATCATCAGTATTGACCGCCTACTATATAATTCTACTTCTAAGTAAACTAAATCGATAGGCAAACATGAACTTGATCAGAAAATCAACTAACTAATAAATCTAATGGTACTATTTTTAAAAATAAGTTTATAATTTATATATATGTGTACCGACTTATATCTTGAAAGCTGGCGGCATGACCTCTTCCAACTTGTGGATGCAAATTAAATAAATTTCACTGGCTGCCATCGCTGATTTGGCTGAGAAGTTGGCGTGCCAAGACAAAATGAAACCCTTTATGGGCACAAGGTGCAAAAGTTTCTGATAAGTTTTCCAGCTGTTTATTTATTTGTTTGCTGATTATGGAATTTCAACGTTGCCGATTCGAAGGTGGGAGAACTGCACCGAGGAATGTAAAAACTGTGCAGGTGAGAAATAAATTGGATGTTGCTTATTTCGGTAAGCCCAATATGGCACTTGAACTTACTGATTGCGAAGGGAAGTGATCAACCATCGAATATCCCTTGGGTGAGCCAACTTCGATTTGCCAAAGTAAACTTGTTCATTATTTCTTTTTGTTTTACTTAGCCTCATATTAATTAATTTCCATTTCCGTTTTGTTATCCCGGCTACGCCGATTTTTACCTTCATGCTGACTAGACAATTAATCAAGTTTAATTACTCAACCGTTTGCGGGAGGAGTACAGGGACTCGAAGCCTTATCCTCCCGCCACTCAAGGACTCCCCTTGGGGATCGCCGGACTCGCATTCGTCCGATGTGGTGGGCATCTGCATTAATCACTGGAATATGCTTACATTTCTCAGCGCCATGTGTGCGGGAGTGGGGAGCGTACCAGAAATGGGCAGGACCCAGATAAAACTCGCCATTAAAAGACGCCTCACGTAAACAATACATCCAGATGGATGAGGTGGGTCGTTTACATATTTTCGCAGCGAATAACTTAGCAGCGGGCAAAACAAATGGTTCCTAGCTGGTATATTTGGACGATTAAAAGCGCTTTTTATTCAAGGATTAATGATTCATATATTCTGAAGATGTATATTTTATGCTGCTGCGGATCTTGATTCTGTAGGTTTTAGTTTGGTGTCCTCTTCCAACAGAATGTATTAGATGCGAGTTTTAATTGTGGGCATACTCTATACCATGAAATTGTTGCAATTGTTTTCCAAGAAATTTGTAGGAATTCTTTCCATGGAAATAAGTAAGAAATCCGAAAAGTAGTGATTGGATTGGGACTAGGATAGTACCAGGCCAACAGAATACCTTACTAGGTGGCCACGTATCATTTTTTATTTGGTCGTATTCAAAGAACTTTATATAAAAAATTACTATTGCATTTTGTTCGCCTAGTACTTCAAAATGGGATGCTGATCAAGAATATATACACTTTATGGGGTCTGAGGTGACTCCTTCACTGCGTTGCAAACTTCCGACTGAAATGACTGAAACAGACTTGAGTGCACTTTTAATACAAACTTTATTAACTTCACGTAATAAAAATCTTCACTTCATAAATTCATAGAAAGTTGTTCATTTATGGATGCCAGTTCTACATGGTCGGTTAACAAAGGAGCTTCGTGTCGAAGCAAGTGACTAATGATAAAAATGTTATACATATCATGGAGGATCACACAATAAATACGCAAGTTTAGTCTGACTACAAACTTTAGGTGTGCTAACAGTGGCTGTGAAAAGGACTTATAAAACATATGCATCAACGGGAGATGCTCATCGATTAATCGTTGAACACCATTTACTAAAGGTTGAGCCTCAAATCTACAGAATGCTACGATATTCGCTTTGATAAATTTTCTAATGGGATCTTTTAGACTTCTTTTGCATCGATAATCTCGAAATGCAGATCGTACTGCTGGTCAAATCCGATAAGGCAATCGGACATCAAGTACAATGTGAGCTGCAGTCGTCCTCGTCGCGGAGTTGCCTGGAAAGAAATGCGGTTGGAGCAGCGCTGTCCGCGAATTGTAACCCGTTTCATGGCCAGGAGCTCATCATTGGCTTGGGAGCCCAGTGTGAGGAACCAGGCTTCATTCTTGGGCTTGGGGTATTTGGGGCAGTGAACTGTGTAACTCTGTCCAGCAGCTCTTCGCTGTCCACCGGTATTCAGACGCTGAAGGTTTACAGTAAGGACATAGTCTTCGTTGGCGTGCAGTGGCATCCATTCGCCTTTCGTGTCGCCAGAAAGTGACAACGGTCGCTTGGCGTACTCGTCCTCCATATAACGACCCTCCACGGATATTAGCAAAGCTATCTCGGGCAAGTCTTGAATTACCTGCAGGAATCATAAGATATTTTAAGAAATATATCCAAAGATCAGTGACTTCAACACCTACCTTATACATCTGCTCGATCTCGTGTTCGTCGAAGGCATCTCGCAGCGGCCTGGCCAGCACTTCGTATTCCTTTCTGCAGAGCTCTTTGAGCACGGGCAGAGTTAAATAGTCGTGATCGTCGTGTGGTATGTTCAAAAAGGCATCCAGATTTCCCTCGTTCACTCCTGGCAACGTGAGAAACTCGCTGCCGTCGAACCAACGCGCCTGAATGACGCACTGCATCAGCTGCTGCACTACTAAGGTGGTGGAGAGCCATCCGCGTTCCGCTGTATAGTCCACCATCGCCTGCATCACTCGAGTGGCGTTATCCAGGGCTGATTTTGTATCCGTCAGATAATCCGAATTGGGAAGCGAATGTCGACTGAAGTGAGCCTGAAGCAGGAGGAATGTCTTCGTGTATGGCGAGTCCCAGGATGCGGATGGAGGCCTAAAGCGACTCGTTCCGGCCATCTGCTCGTTATACTTGTCCTCGTTATGCCGAACGGGTTGCTGATCGAATTCATATGAATCGGCAATGGCCAGGAGAACCTCCTTGGGGCCCATGCCCGGCTGCAGATCCTCCAGGAAGTGCTTCATTGTGCGATACGACAGATAATAGTAGGAACTGATTCGACCCAAGAAGGTTGGGACGAGACAATCATCACGCTCCACCAGACAGGCGGCACTAGATAGTTCGTAGACCACGCGCTCGACCAGGTTGGACATAAAGGCATTCACATTTTCCGGCTCCACTCCCTCCAACTGATAGTAAGAAGGATTTCGCAGCAATCGCCTAAAGAAGTAAGTCCAAGTGAGGTAGTCCAGAGCCGCCTGCTTTGACTGAACCGTTCCTGCCACGATCTCGGCATTAATGTGCTCCGGCAGCACGCCCAGCAGACTGGACTCCACGGGGAATGGATCGTACAGGAACTTTTTGTAGAAGTTCTTCTTTTCGTCATGCACCAGGACCACGGCCACGCCTTCGTTGTCGAACTGCGGTCGACCAGCTCGACCCATCATCTGCAGCACATCCGTAATGGGCATGTCCACGTACTTCTTCACCTTGCCGTCGAAGTACTCCGTGCCCTTGATCACCACCAAATGGGCGGGCAAGTTGACGCCCCACGCAAGCGTGGCAGTGGCTACAAGCACTTGGATCTTCCGGTTGAGGAAGAGCTCCTCCACACACTTTCGATCCTGCTCCTGCAGACCGGCGTGATGCAATCCAATACCAAAGGCCAGGCAGAACTTGAGGTTCTGATCGCGAATGTTCTGCAGAATCAGCTCCATTTCATTCTCCGCGATGTGTAGGAACTGCTTGGGATTGGCGTCACCTGCTACGAAGGTTATCAGATCCAGGGCAGTCAGTCTCGTCTGCCGACGTGAGGATACAAAAACGATTGTCGGCTCACACGGGGAGTAGGTGCGAATAGCCTGGAAAGTTGGCCTGTTCATTGTCGCCATGCGAGGGCAATAGTGTTTACCCGGGAATCCGTTGATGTGCACCTGCAACGGAACCGGACGAACCGAGGGCTTAAAGTTGTACAGACCCATCTTGGTGATGCCCAGCCAGTTCGCCAAATCCTGGGCGTTGGCAAGTGCCGTGGATAATCCCACGATTCTAATTGCTCGACCCGTATGTGAGCTGATAAAGTTTGTGCGGGAAACAATCACTTCGATGACCGGTCCACGATCTTCGCCCAACAGGTGGATCTCATCGATGACGATCAGGGAAACATGCTGCACATATTCTCTCGTCTGCCAGGATCGACTGATACCGTCCCATTTCTCCGGCGTGGTTACGATCAGCTGTGATTCCCGGATAGCTTGGATATCTGGCGTGACGTCGCCTGTCAGCTCCACCACTTTGAGACCCAATGAGGAACGCTGGAAACGCTGCTCCCAGTCGGAGATCCTTTCCTTCACCAACGCTTTAAGCGGAGCTATGTACACCACTTTGCACTTTGGGTTCTGGTTGAGTGCTCTGAAGATCGCTATCTCAGCCACAATAGTCTTACCACTTCCAGTCGGAGCACCTAACAGCACATTATTGTCGGTGTGGTAGAGGCAGTGAAAGATTTGCGTCTGGATGGGATTGAAGTGGGTGAACTTGTAGAGGGATTCGTAGAGGACGTTCTTAAGACAGCTGACTGGCAGTGGGCGAAGTGGTAGAAGTTCCGTTAGTGGCGGATGATGTTCCGGCAGCACCAAGTGCTGGAAGGACAATGGAATGCATGTTGTGCTGCCCAGCCAGCTGTCGCTGCTCACTCGAATGTAGTATTGCGGCGGCAGTGGCTCCTTCAGCGGAATGGTCATAACCAGCTGCTGGGACTGACCGCTTATCACCAACTTTTTGCTGAGCTGGAACAGTTCCGAGTGATAAATGTAGTTGGATTCGGGATCCTCAATCCATAGCCAGAAACTCTGACTCGTCTTGCCGTGAACGCGATCGTTCCAACTGAAACTGGGCCAGATGTCTACTTTGATGCGAAGCACCGTTCTTGTAATGGGCTGCAGACTGGCCTCCACTTCCAGCATTGGCAGTTCCTGCGCACAGCGGATAACCAGCTCTGCATAGCGATCGCTTCGTAGCCACTCCTTCAACTCTCGCTGCTCCATGTCCCTCAATCGGTAAACACTCAAGCCACGTCGCTCCAGCTTGTCAATGGTTTCCGCATTGATTGCGGGAAACTGTCGCAGATGGCTGTCAAGATCCCATTGCCGTCGTTCAAACATTTTGCACAGCTGCAGCATGCGTCCTGCCAAGACTGCATTATTTTGACGCAATACAATAGAAAACAGTGCTCTGGTTATTCTTCCTATGTTTGTGGTAATGTAGGACATGTCGGAGCTCAGTGAAAAGGACTTGACATAGCCATTAGATAGATATGTCTGAATAAGAATGTTCACCTGGCAAAGAGAAAAAAAATTTGCATGACGAACGTAAATACAACAATTTTGATAGCTACCTTGCCATGGATATTCTCACTTCCTCCGTAGGGTTTTATCTTACAGTAGTAGCTTCTCAACTCGTCCAGTTCCTCCATCTCATCATCGCGCACCTTGAGCTGCTGAAACTCCTGCGCCTGAGAAATCATGGCTAAAATCTCAGCTTCATTCATAAATGGCTTCATCAACTCATTGAACGTCTCCACAGTATCGTACTTGATGTAGAAATGCGAGGCAGTGCGGCCCAAGTCGGTGATGTTCATGTCCATAGTTCGCTGGTTGAAGCGCATCATCCGCGCCTTGTCCAGACTCATCGAGGCGGACATGATAAGAGCTCTTCGGCGAGCTTCCAGCGTGGGATCCTTTTGCAGTTCTGAATACTCGATGCCATAAACATGGGGATTGATGCGCATTCTCACAAAGAGGTAACTAAAAACAAAAATGGAATGTAATCGCATACATTTTATAAATAAATAATACCAACTCACGTGTAGCTGAGCCACTCGATAGCTTCCTCCACATTGGTAATCGTGCCCAGACCTATCTCTGCATTCAAATTGTCAGCTAGGCAGTTTACAAAGTTGGATTCGATGGGGAATTGATTTGTAAGCAGCGAAAGATAGTGATTCAGCTTATCGTAACTGGTGATAATGGTGCCCACGCCACTTTTGTCGAACTGCGGGCGACCGGCTCGTCCAAAGATCTGCAGCACATCGAGAATTCCCAGATCCACGAAGCTGCCGTGCTTGGCATCGTAGATATCCGTTCCTCGGATAATGACAGCGTGTGCCGGCAGATTGACACCCCAGGCGAGGGTAGCCGTGCAGACAAGCACTGATATGTGACCTTCGACAAAGTACTTTTCAACCATCTGACGATCGGCGCGCAGCATTCCCGCATGGTGCATGGCAAGTCCACAGGAGAATAGGTCAACCAGTTGCTTATTCCGACTTCTTTGTATCGATCGCATGGCCAATCCATGGGCTTGCGAAACTTTCGGCAAAAACACAGCGCTAGTGTTGTTCTGCTGGGCCAATTCACGTATCACATTTGCCGTTCGCACAGTGGCATTTCGAGCATGAACAAAGACCATAATCTGGTGGCCCTGCTGCACCATTTCAACGCACTTCTGGTAGCAACACTGATCCATGTCGGCGATCTGCTGCAGCGGCTTCACGGACTTGATGCCTACGAAGTTGGTGTCCAGTGGAACGGTCGGAAACGGGAATCGAAGTAGAAGAGGCCCTTCATGGGATTCACACGCAGGAAGTGGGCCACATCAATGTAATTTGGCAGGGTGGCAGACAGACCCACAATGCGAATCATCGACTGCGAGGATTCAACGAGGCGGAGTGTGCGGGCCACGAGAGCCTCCACTACAGGACCTCGTTCGCCGTGCAGCAGATGAACCTCATCAATAATGAGAAGCTTTACTAAGCTAATCAAAGCCACATCTCCGCTACCTGCAAGAAACCAAAACTAATACAAGGTACTAATTAAACTTAAACTTGTTTACCTTTTCTGGTAACCACGTCCCATTTTTCTGGAGTAGTAACCAAGATTTGAGTGGCAGCCATCTCCGCCTTGGTTAGCTGCATGTCTCCCGTCAACTCTCGCACAGCAATTTGTAATGATTTCAGACGCTTGGAGAAGTTTTCAACCATTTCAGAGGCCAGCGCCTTCATTGGAGCTATGTAAACGATCTTAAACTCGTCCCGGTTGATGATTCCCTGCTCGAGATGGCATCGAATCGTGTGTACAATGGACAACATGGCCACATTGGTTTTTCCCGCTCCCGTGGGCGCACATACCAGCATGTTTTCATTGCTGTGATAGGCCACAGGATAGACCACTGACTGGATGCGATTCAGTTCCTTGCAGTTGGCAAACGCAAGCTTTCCCACATCGTCCAGTTCTTCGATTTGGATGCGCTTGTTGCCCACTGAAAGTGGAGGTGGCTCACTCGCGGGGATCTTGACTTCCTCCCACTGTTTGTTGTCGATACGCTGGGCATTGTCTGGCAACGTAATCCTGCTGCCGCCAATGAATCCGGCGTGCTGTTTGGCCAACAGCTGACTGTCAAACACATAGGGATAGTGAATGGGCTGGTTGTGCATGTTCTGTTTGTAAGCCTCCTTTTCCGCCTTGGTGCTTAGCAGCAAAGGCTCCCGCTGTGCGGCCTCCAAAAGCTTCCGCTGGTGATTCATGCGCAGTTGTTGGACGGAAACGGCCACCGCACAGTTGGGATCGTCTTCGGGTTCTTCGTCCTTGATGCTTCGCATAATGCGGTGCAGCTTCTTCTCCTCTCGCCGCTGCATCTTGCCCAGCTGTTTTTCCTGCGCCGACTGTACCACCACGGCACTGGCAACAGTGGGTCGGCGCTCCGTCGCTCCTCCAGTAGCCGCCGACTGGATGCGCTTTTGCTTCACCTCTTTGACGCGACGGGATCGCGTAGCATACTGGTCCAACTGCCGAGCGATCTTGTCCCGGTCCTGGAGCAGTTTAATCACTAGTTCAAAGTGATCGAAGCCCAGCAACTCCATCAGTTCGTTTTGCAACTCCTCACTGCTTCGCTTGGAACCTAAAATATCGCCAACGCGATTCAACAGGTGTTCGTCGTCCAACTTCTCGGAGATCGAAAGCAGGCTCTGAAGCTCGGGACTTAACTTTGCGGCATCCGTATGCTTGGGTGCCGCCGGAGCGGACTGGGATTTGTACTTCATTGAAAACTTGTTGACGGTGCGGTTTTTCAACAGGGCATCCGGTGCGAGGTCAGTTAGCAGGCTGATGTCACACCATTCGGCGGGCGTGCACTTAACGTGGATGTGAGAGCCCCACAATGGACCCACTCCGGGAGCCTTCCGCTGCGCCTGCTGCCATCGCTTCAGAGCGGCTCGCTCGTGCTCCTCCAGCAGATCCCCGATGGCCAGGACGCACTCGTGGATCTGCGACTTCTTGCGGTCGAAGGTCTGGCCGAACATGCCGTGCAGCCGATGGGTGGTTGCCACCAGAAGCACACGCTGCTCGAGGAGCAGCCAAAAGAGGTACAAGGCGGCGTGCTCCACCACCTGTGGCTGCTCCTCGTAGCCCATGCACTCCTGCACCAGGTTGCGCAACTTGTGCAGCTGCACCTTGGCGGCGGGCTGCTTTTCGGTAGGGAGTTGAGCCAGCAGCTTGGCTATGGTCTGGTCATCCTTGCTGGAAGTTCTCGGTGGTCAGTGGAATTTCACAGGTGGTGAAATCTCTATCAACTTACTCTTGGGTGTTTGCCGTCGTGGACGCGGAGGTAGTGCTTCTCGCCTGCCGGAGAATGCTGAACCGGCGGCTCCGGGCCTCCAGCTCTGTTTTCGTGCGCAAGGATGCACTCAGACGTGGCGGTTCCCACATATTTATCCTTATTTATGTCTGTTATTTTGCGAGGAAGAGGCAATCGCCAAGCAAGTTGGCATTCTGTTTGCCGCGAAGCAGTGTTGGAAAAGGCGACGTGGGATTGCGTCTTTGCTAAGGGCCATTAGCCTTCAAATATTTGTAACCAACAAATTTTAAAATTGTGTATTTGCAGTTTTCGATTAAAAATATTTTTACGTAGGACAAGGCATACACTGCTTTTAAAAACTTTTAAAAGCATTGACAACAATTACATAATTTATGCAAACAAGTACATATTCAGAGTATAAGTCAGAGTGTAAGGCATTTAAAAGTTTAAAGCCAATGAACGAGTTTACTCAAGAACTTACAAGGTCTAAGCCAAACCTTTGAAATCAATTGTAGTTGTTGGTTTCGTTTTTCAAATTCAAATTTGCGCGCTATCCCGTTCTGTACAAATGGTAACCACAACTGGCAGTATTGAGCGCCAAATTTGGTCAACCTAAGTTTTTCCATCAACGTTGCCACATCTTCGAAAAAAGCTGCATTGAATATCGTAATCTTGAATTGAAAAAGTACGTTACAAATATTCAAGGGATTTTATCCAGTCTTTTAACTTAAAAATGATGAATAAATTTAATACGTACATTTAAATTAAAAACTTAAGGGATCATGAATTACTATTTATAATTAAATAAATATATATTATAAATAAATTAAATAGCAGCATGAAACATTTAATTCTGTGACAGTGAATATCGTAAGTGTTTCATCCTTTTGTCTTAACTTTCTCCTTAACTTTTCTAAAACAATTTACGTATGCAAAACTTGTCGCTCGTCAGCTCGATTAGGAACTTTACAACCTGTGTCCAGCTGCTTTTGATTTGAGGCTGCCCACTAACCTCCATCCCCCACAAACCCCAAAATAAACCCATAAACTTGTTGCGCAAGATGCAATTGTCTGTGTGCTCTTGTTTATTATGCACCGAGTGTCCACATATTCGCCCGAGTTTTCTTGGTAATTCATCCGCCACATGCTTCATTGACCACTTTGAATGGGAAAATCTTAGAGTGGAAAGATTTCTTATTCAAGAGGAGTATATAAACAAGGAGCCCGTCTTATCTGTCCTTTCAGTTGCGATTTATCTGGGATACGGAACAGGACTCCATTGAAAGATCTTACTTATGAGAGGCTCAGCATTTTGAGCAGACTGCCGACCAATGACTAAGACCACAATGCATTGGCTGGCTCACTTCCAGATTATATTGCTATGTAAGTTTAAAATAATCAGAGGATTTGAACTTTTAATTTATATTGCTAATTATGTAGGCATTTGGTTGATGTGCCCCAGTTCGAAGGCCATAAAATGCGACACTTGTGGCAAGGAGTGTGCCAGCGCCTGTGGCACCAAGCACTTTCGGTAAGACAACTGTTATACAGAAACCTAAGATACACTTAAGCATACCTCCTAATATAATTCGCTTCCTAACAGTAATGAATGAAAATTCTCAATACAATTGTAATTTTCCTAGGACCTGTTGCTTTAACTACCTTCGCAAACGTTCCTATCCGGATGCACTGCGTCAGAGCTCGGATCGCAGGCTCATCGACTTCATCCTGCTGCAAGGACGAGCCCTCTTCACCCAGGAATTGCGCGAGAGACGCCACAATGGCACTTTGATAGACCTCGGCTTGAACACCTACTACCGCTAAAACCACTCCTAATAACTCAATCTACGCTGATACTGACACTGACTTTGATTCCGACTCCTGATTTATGTGATCCAATGGCAAAAGGTTGAAATGTTTGAAATGTTAATTTTCCAATAAAGGCACTAACTTCTTTGGGGCACTGTGCTTGATGAAGCAGCTAAGCAAGTCACTTGTCACTCGGGTTATTTGATTTTGTATCAATTGCACTTATATTATATATTTTACTACATTTTTTTTATATTTTTCATTGCCAGCTTTTTTTTTGGGTTTTCCTTGAGGTGTCTTTTTTGCAAAATAGTTGAGTCTTTGTAGATCTAGAGCTGTCAGTTCCCTACTTCTGCAGTCGTCGTCTCTGAATCGCTTAGGCCTGGGATTCGCTGATCTCCGCGGTGGCCTGTGTCCTCGAATCCGCGCCGAAGTCGTCCTTGCCGCAGGCCAGGCAGGGCATCTTCTCCCGCAGGACCTGCTTGTACTTGGGATGGCTGGGGGAAGATATATATGAAATAAATTTATAAGGATATATAAAGTAAGATCACCTCAATCCGTAGACAATGGGATTGCACACTGCATTCGCCTTGGCGAACACGGATCCACAAATGGTGCTCAGTGGACTCAAGTGCATGGACTCGAAGACGCCAGCATAGTTGATGATGGTATAGGGAGTCCAGGCGAAGAACCACAGCGAGATGGTGGTCAGAGCCACCTTGGCCAGCTTGATTTCGATGGCCTTGCTCTTGTCAGCCTCACTGTTCCTTAGAGAAGCCACGTTCATCTTCTTGGCCTGCTCCCTCATGGCTTTCTCATGGGCAGCAACAGCCTGGAAAATAAAATTCAAATTAAATAAAGATTAGAGTAATAATAATAAGGATAAGCAATAAATTTATAGTCTCAAAATTGAATCCCAATACCAAGAATATTACTTTTAAGCCTATGATTTTGTTCAATCCTAATACTCTTAATTCCAATTTGTAATCTGCTCATCCACATAACTAGATATCCTTATAACTCCTTCTCACCTTCATGATGTGCCAGTAGGAGAAGATAATGGTCAGCAGCGGCGTGAGGTAGACCCACAGCGAGTAGACGATGATGTAGGAGCGGTTGAACCAGTCCTTGGCGAAGTAGTCGGTGCCGCAGGCGGTCATGTTGCCCTCGGGCACGTAGCGATTCCATCCGAAGAGCGGCAGCAGAGCCCAGGTTAGGCAAATGGTCCAGACGACCATCAGCCGGAGCACCGCCGCCGTGGCCGTCAGGGGTTTCCTGGCCATGCCCTTCACGATCACACAGTACCTGTCGTAGGCAATCAGGGTCATGGACCAGATGGACACACAGCCGAAGAGCGAGCCGAACATCCCGTACAGCTCGCACAGGAAGGGACCCATGATCCAGGTGCCGTAGAAGCCGTTCAGCACCACGGGCGGGAACATGGTGAACATCATCATGAAGTCGGAGAAGGCCAGGTTGACCACGAACATGTTGGAGGGAGTGCGCAGGCCCTTCGACGAGGTGAAGATGTACATCACGATGAAGTTGCCCGCCAGCGACATCATGCCCAGAATGGCGATCACGAACCCGATGATGCCGAACCACATGGGCTCCATGGGTGGCCACTGGTACCAGTAGGGATCCACCATGTGCATGATCTCGGCGGGCACACTCTCCGCCAGGCTGAGGTTGTTGCGACCATCGCGCATGTAGCCGTAGCTCGGTGGACTCAAACTGGCCATTTTGGGGCTGCAACTCCTGTTCTGATCGGTGGTAACTTTTTGGGATCTTGGCTGACTTCTCTGCTGCGGAGGAGACTACTCGCTGCCCATAGCAGGACGACTGGCTCTCGGGACGCGGACTTGGAGGCAATGTCTGCGGCGAAAGCCTGGCCAGGTCTTTATATGGCCACTTGTGACCAGCCCGTCTTAGACTAATTGCCCTAATCCAATTAGTCGTCACTTGGCCAATCCAAAGCTGCCGATTCCAATTGCGCTTTCGATTGCCGCAAATTTGCTGCGTCGGATTAGCAGTACTCGCGTCATTCCCAAACCGACTTAGCCGCCAAATAGCCACAAGGTCAAGTTTGAGGCAGCTCCCCACCAACAAGCCACCAATCCACCAATGACCACCCACCCAGCAATTAGATTAAGACAAACGCTTTCCTGCTTCGCCAAGTTCACGTTTACTGACACACTTGTGGGTTTGCTCCTCAGAAATGCCAATGGTAACCCAACTTGCGGGCTCCTCTCATCACGGAGCCCAACTGGAACTGCAGGCTGCCGTAGGACTCCATGGAGAGGCCCTTGCACTTCAGGTTGTCCAGCAGGACCTTGGGATCCTTCAGCTCCGGTTCGCGGCGCAGCAGCCAACTGGTGATATCCGCCATCATGTTGGGGCACTTGGGCATCAGGATGGGGGCCTGCAGCTGCTCCGATTGCTCCGCAGGGCGACGGCTGCCGAAGACCGGCAGGTGGATGTGCGCGTAGCCGAGGAGGGTTTCCCGACCCAACCCACTGCGCCCGAAAACGCTCACCAGCATCTGTGGCCCTGAAAAATAGGGAAATACAAGTGAGTATAGGATAACAAAATTCCAAATTGGTTCAGTCATTCCATTTTTTGTATACAAAATTTAATATACGTAGAAAGTGCCAAAATATTAATGAGTATAATCTTTAAATAATAATCGTTTTTATAAATCATTAGAAATTTTAAATTAATCACGCCAGGTGGGCAATATCTGGTCAGTAAATTATATTTACCATTATTTAAACATAAAGAAAATATGCACAACTTAGGTACACATTTTACTACACATTTGGTAACCTATAAACTAAATAAACTTGCATAAAAACTATAATCTGTTACATATAGACATTATATGTTTAGGATAAGCTAATTATTTCTTTTAAGAAGTTGTTAACCACAAGTAACGTGTAAATGCTGAAAAATAGTATCTACCTACTCCAACTCATATAAAACCGGTTTCAATCACTTCACATAAATATCTAATAAATGAAATAAAATAAATATTATATTTGTTACCCACAGCCAAAGGGACTGGTGCTCTTGTAGGTGACCTCGATGGGCATGTTGAAGACAATCGGTTCGTTAAAGGGGCCCCTCTTGTTGGTGGCCAGCTGGGTGATTCCGTGCTGGGGACCCGAGGCCAGCTGCCAGTCAGGACCTGCCACCAGTTCGTAGCGCAGGAAGACGAACTCCTTGTCGGGACCCAGAGGAAATGTGGCCGAGACAATTTGGCCAGAGATGCACAAGCTGAAGCAACTGGCAGTGGCTTTCACGTCCATCGGACTGGGAGGACTCTCTTTGGCACTTCTGGACTTCTTTCTGCCCTTCCTGGGCCTTTGTTTGTGTTTTTCACGCCGCGGACTGGTGTCCCGGTTGCCCGGGAGACTGATTCCCTCGCTGCCACTCATGGTGGTGGTTTCCGACTCCCGAAGGGGTGTGTTTCTCCACCAGAATGCAAAGTGCCTTCCACCTGACAACTGACAATGAAAAGCCGGAGTGTTGGAAAAGGTGCACACATTTGACAAATCCAAATAAGGATTATAATCGATATCATTTGCTTACCTGGCAAAATCAATGTTTTATGCATTTATTAATTCTCTATAGCTTTTTCTGCACACGCCAAAATGTTTTGCATATTAAATAACCCAAACAGAAACTGTCATCGAATTTCTAAACAACCTTACCATTATCGACTATTTGGCATTTTTATGTCAGTGGAATTTATATGAATTTATTGCTGTTTTCATATAATAAATTCAAATTTTGTTGTTTGGCACGTGACGCGTTTAAAACGGAAAACAACATAAGGTGCTCAGTTCTTCTGGTTATTATTACATGTACGGAACCTGAGAGATTTAATAGCATAGCTTAGCACTTATTGATTATACGTATGGATAGTATATGGCCTGTCCATACTTAATAACAGTTTAGATAAAGTTCCGTGGTTAATTTAAATTTCTTGCTGATTTAATGAACCGGCGTGTTCATAAATCAAATTAATGATGTCTTTCGGTAAATATTGTAAGTACTTTACTTGCATTGACCGAGTGTTTCCTTTGTCTATTTTTAATTCAGTTGGGAAAACAACTCATTTTATTCTAATTCTATTTTTACTTACTTATACTTATACTTATTTTATTCACACAGTTTGTCAAGCTTGGGGCGTCTGGTCATGTCGACGCCAATGTAATTTAATGCCATCCAAGTTACATGCTCGTTACACGGACATCGAGTGGTTCTGGCTTTTGGTCTGGTTCTGCTTTGCATACTTCGATCCAGTGCGGAATATCACTATATCTGCACTCGACGGATACGTGACAATTACAATTACAAGATAATAACTCATTTTCAGCCGGCAGTCGGGGCGGGGCGAAAGGTCAATTGCGATCGACACGGCCCGAGGCAACTGACTCAGCCTCCTGGCCGTCGTGTAATTAATTCTGTAATGGCCATTTAGCAATTTATAGCTGCCAACGCGGCATGCTTGTAAATCATTGTGACAATTGCCGGCGCTACCGAAACGGGAAGTCGCGCCTCCGATCTTCGATCTCCGGTGCCGCTCCCTGCCCCAAGATGCATTATGCAATGCAAAACTGGCCAGAAGCCAATAGCTAGTTGTTCAGTTAGTCGGTTAGCATTTCCATGCCTCTTGGCGTAATTAAAATGCGCCTTAAATAATGTCAATGGTTCAAGGCGAGGTGGTGGCTCAGCTGTCCTGGGTTCAACACTCTACACTCATCTCCAATCTTCTCGATCCGCAGAACCACGCAGATGATCTTCGCACCACTCGGTTTCGCCTCTCACTGCAGCTGTGGTGCAGCCGGTGGCTCAGAGTGGTGCAGCAGCTGGTCCAACCAGGCGGTGCTGCAATCCCAAGACTGATGGAGTGCTTACACTGAAAGGAAAGGGTTGAAAAATGGAAAAGAATTTTGTATCAGATATTAAGGCCTTCGAAAAGAAGTAGAATGATAATTAAGTATCTAAATGCTGATCATTTTGAAATGTTTGATTTTTGTTTCTTTATTTTTTTGTTAAATGATATCTTAATAAAATATATTATTATCTTTATTTCTTATTGTAGAACACAAAATCTTATATTTTATCTTCATGTTTCGTAACTGGTTTGAGATAAGATCTGCAATATTATTACTCATTAAAGAGTCTTGTTCTAATTAGCTTATAGTTTTTCCATTTATAATCTTGTTCTTGGATGATTCTCTTTTAATCAGACAATTTTAAATGGTATTTAAAATTATAACGAATAAATGCATAAACTAGTCATCAGAAGTTACCCAGTTACCTATTAAAAAAACGCGTATAAAAACACTCCGATAAACATGCTGATATTCAAATCGGATTCCTCGTGACTCCGAGAACTTACTCACGATTGTCGCACGATTTCTGCCAGTATGTCAGAACCCAAGTGTGTGCGGCATGTGCAGTTCCACGGAATAAGCCCCCTGATAGCCAAAACAAAAGCTTAGGCTTAGGCAGGCAGCCAAAAACCGAAAGCCGAATGCGAACGTGGAGCCATCGGGCGGGCGGACCATCAGAAATCGGACAGCGGGCCACAAGTATAAGTATAGTAAGTAACGCCGTAAGCCGCTCAAGACTTGGCCGCTGCAATCGGAGGAAGCGCTGACGCAGCGCAGAATCGACATTATATTTCGGATCGGATCGAGTTGGGCATTATGGCCTGATGGCATTATGCTTCTAATACTGCAGAGCACCGCCTGCAGGCACACACACTCCAACCTCAAACCCACACTCGTGCATATTCGCAGTGCAATAATTATGGCCTGCATTCAATTACGTTTTCGGAATCAATGAACAGAAGAAGAAGAGTTATTCAGAAAGAAATATAAATTTGGTGGGGCCTTATATAAAACCGATTCATATCCATTGAATGGCCTGGTGTAAATGAAATTGAAAATGAAAATGAAAATGCAATTTTTCAATTGAAGTCTTTGGCCAGTGCATTGGCCACCGCGAAGGGCGTTGCATTACCGAAAGTTGAGAGCGGTGTGTTGAACCGTTGAGTTGCGCAACGCGAATTTCTGGAGCGGTTCAGCGGTCGATGGAAGGGCCAGGAAACCATCTGCAGATGCCTAATATCTCTCCCCGACCAACCGACAGTTCAAAGAGCTCGAAAAGATCCAGAGAATATGAGTTATGCATGCGCGTGTACTTGAATACTAGACCGTTTTATGATCTTGCCTTTCAGCGGGCACTCATCTTTTATGGCGATGGAGCGGTGCCACCCACTGTACTTCTGCTACTTTTAAAATGTTTTTAATTCCAACTCACTTCAAGTATGTTCCACATGATGCCCATAAATATTTGCAAGCCTATGGGATACGATTTGCATGCATACGCCATTCGGTCTTCGTTTCAAGGAATACGAGTACACTGATCAAAACTAAAGTTTTATTTTACGGAACCAATCAATATAAAACTCTTATAAGATGAAAAATTAATTGTCATTCTTTTTAATTATTTTAGTAGGACACAGAAAAATAATTTAATGTATTTATTTTATATATTACCAAACATATTGTTGAAGATATAACTTTTAAATATAAATAAATGTTACTAATTCCTTCACCTCAATTTAAAAGATTCACATTTTATCTCATAGGATAATGAGAACTTTTCAATTCAAATCTTTTTATTATGTTAAATGAACTAGATAAATAAAATAAAAGCTCTTAAATTGGCCATGTATTAATCACTCAAAAATGTTTGTTCAGCGTATATTTTAGATCTGTCAAGAGGACAAACATAAATTATTAAAACGATTTCCTTACCCAATAAAACTATAAACATATGTTGAGTGTTTACTTTTCCTCAAGAAAAAACTGGTCAAGGCTGGAATTGAAATTCGGCTTGCGCGATAAAAATGTAAACAGTCAAAAATGAGAAATTGTGTCTTGTTTTAGATGGCATGTTTTCCGCTGTGCATCTATATATAAACCACTATTAGTTTATATTTTTCGCGTTGCGTGGGCGTGGGCTAGTCTCAGGGTCAACGCACGATGTATATTCGCATCCCCATCCCGATCACGCTCCCCCTTTGAATCTCCAAACGAATCCCCATCACCGATTCCCAACTAGATCGCCATCTGTGTGCGCTGTCATAGTGGATGGCCTATGCTGTAGCTGAATGGATGGATGATATATGCCATACAGTTAAGTGAAATGTATCTTCGAGATACGGGAGTACCGCGAATGCCTCTTACGCATGCCTCTCGATTCCGATTCCCATTCTCGATTCTTTTCTTTTCCGATTCCTGCCGCTGATTGACAGCGCCCGTAATTGAGTTTGATTTTTGCGAATTTCCAGAATTTAGACATCACCCAAAGGGGGGCATAAAATGGAAGGCTGGGGGAGGGGAACTCTCTTAAAAAAGGTTTGTGTTTAGTTAGCCCAAATATTTGATTCGATTTGATTGAGCGGCTGTCAGGGGTAACTTAAAAACCTGAGCTCTCAATAATTCCAAAGGGGGCTTTCGCAGGCCTTCGATCATTCAATCAGGATCAATATTTATCAATCAAGTGTGTGGGTGAGCGAGTGGAGACTGAATGGAAACGCTCGCAAGTTTTGGACCAGTTCACGCACTGCGGCGCACACTCACCCATAAATATCTACGGACAGACGCAATTGACTAAGAGGCCTGCGCGTGTTGGACGCACGGACGGATAAACAGACGGAGCGTCTGACATCTGAAGACCTTCCAATACTATACAGTAGATCCGTAGACCAGGGCTCTTAACAGCCAAATAAACTTGGAGGTCGATCGGAACTGCACATGCAGAGAGGAGTACCTGAATTTATGTAGGTTCTGAATAAAATAAAATTCCAAAACTGAGGAATCCAATTCCATCGGATGTTTCTATGGGGCAAGCGTACTGTTTCTATTTTGGCATTTACTGCTAAACAAAAGTTTATGGCTGCGCGTGCTGCCGGCTGCCTAATGATCTAAATGCGTTAATTATCAAGATGATACAACGCGCTGTAGATCTGGACAGATACCATACATAGATGCTGAATAGACAGATAGATACAATGCGGTCAGCCCGGAGATCTCGATCATTAACATCTGAAAAGCAGCGGCGCCTCTTTGAACAGTCTTTCCTAATTTAGTCAGCATGCTGCCCCTTTATTAGCCTGGTTTAGATTAAGGATTCGCCGGAACGGCTAGTTAATAAGACGCCCAGCTAGGGAGGCTGTTTATCTAGTGGACGGGTAAACAATGTACATAGGGCATGGCCAGTTCGGTCTGATGAAAACGTTCTTGTAATACCCACTTGCCTCCAGACTTTTATGGCTGTTTTGTAAGATTTGTTGTTTTGGCTGCTGTTTTATGTTGGCTTCATTCGGTTGCCGGCAGTTTGTTGTTGATTACAAAACAAGCGTTGCAAGATTGCATAGTTTCTGCCGCAATCCCAATGCAACACCCCGCTGGCGTTCCGCTCTTCCCGGAATCCCATTAAGCTGTTTTTCATTATTTTTCCTTTCGTTTATAAGACCCATACATGTATCATATTTTAGAATATTTCAGAATTTTTGCAAACTGGCGGCGGCGAGAGAGCCAGCAAAATGGATTTTTAATTTCCAACTATACTTTAATTTGGCAAACGAGCTCTCGTCTTTTAATTGATTAATTCTTATTGCTGCGTTTGATTAAAGAAAATATTTAGTATACAACAGGGTCAATTGCTACATATGGTAATTTGCCATAGAAGACATTTATGTGGAAGAGTTCTCGGCGCTCGAATAATGGAGCGGATCGCAACTATTTTCGGCCACTGACGCGATCAGTAGATTGATCTTGACCTACATCGGGTGGCATCCAGCAGATGTCGCACTCTTTTGGTATAAACGGCCTAAAATAATGTATCATACTAGGGTATGGAAATTATATCTCTTTAAATTGACTCACTTTTTGGGATGGGTCACAGTACGATCACTTTGTCAAGAGTGTCATGTCAGATAAAGTACGTCATGGTTCTGTTTTCCCTTCACTGATAAGGATGAGCCTGTCATCTCCCATCATTTTATTTTCCCAAATATTGGTTTTACGCTCTTGAATCATCTAGTGATGGAATGGATCATGCAAATCCCGCACAGACCTTTCCCTTTAAAAATGAAAACGTCATTTTATTTTCTTAAATGTACGATAACTATAAACTCAGTCTCTTCTTTGATTTTTCTGTAATATGTTCATTTTAAGGGGAATCCAACGATATCAGTCCGTAATGCATAAGAAATTTTATGATTTGAACGTTTGTATAAAAAAATTGTAATTGTTCATACACTTGTGATTTAGTTATTAATAATTTTTAAATATAAATATAAAAGAATTACCCAAGCAATAATTTAGTTTAGTTCTTCAAATATATGTATATTAATTATATCCAATAATTTTTTATTGGTTATTTAAGGATAATTGATATAGTCGACAGACCTGTTCGTTCAAACCGGCCAAATTAATTTGGTTTCTGGGTCTTTCTTGGCCTGCACCATTCGACCTTGTTACTATGTCAAGACTAAGATCTTATCTGCGGATACAAGAGATAAGAGAATTTCGGCACTCTAAAGGTTGTAGAACCTAGCGAAAGCACATAATCCGCACATGTGCGAATGTATGCGGATTATACAGTGGCAAGTTAAGAGAGCGTTCGCCGCTCTTTTAAGCTTAGCTCGCGACGAGTGACTCTTTCACTGTTTTTTTTTGGGTAGATCGCTCTCTCTTCAGCGGGGGATCGTATGATATGTTATCGAACAGTAAGCTTTTAAGGGCAGTCTGACAATCTCCTTTCCTGTGGGTTTACCCCAAGTCCAGATCCCTTGGGACTGCCATATATCCCTTATACATATATATACATGAACTGGGCGAGAGAGCAGACGCTTTCGTGGTGTATGTGTGTGTGTGTGTGTGCGCGCGATCGCAGATTGCTTGGCGGTCCGGACCGCCGCTACCAACTGTTGATCGCCGAGCGTTTCAGTCCGCAGCGGGTACTCAAGCGAGCCGAAACGAAACATCGCCAGATACAGATACACATTGTCTGGTTTGTAGCACTTGGCCAGTCGCCTCGTTCTCGTCTGTTTCGTTTATTTGCGCGCGGCTAGTTGGCAATTGCTTGAGTTAAAATTTATATTCCTATTCCGATTCCGATTCCCCATTTCGATTCGAATTTCGCATAAGATTCCGATTCCGATTCCCGACTCCTGAATTAGTTACGAAAACGAGACAGTGAATCCTTTTTTGGCCATGTCGGCAGCACGGCGTTAGTATGCCACCGAATCGGCGCGTTCGCGTGAACTCTGACCTGGTGCCGCTGGTCCGCAGCTCTGGGACAACCTTCGTTAACATAGCCGCAGCAAAAAGAGCTGCTTGCCGAAAAGAAAGCCAGCCCAGAATGCCAAAGGTGACCAAGTTAATGGTGCAGCTCGAAAGTGAATGCAGTCGCCGCGATGTGTGAAGAAGCTCAAGAAGAAGCTCAAGCTTAACATTGGCCCACCACAACGAATTTTGTGATTCGGCAAAAAAAAAAAAATAAAGAAAGAAGATCGTTCATCGTGCATCATGAGATCGTACAATCTACATAGTTAGTATCTGGTGGTAAAGTAGTTTATTTTCGCTAATCGCCGTGTCATAAGTGCGAGTCGTTTTAATACCCACCAGCCGTAGTCTACGCGTGTTATTTTTTTTTTACTTCTGCCTTTTTTCGGCGGGTGCGGTGCCCACGGCAACGGAACGAGACTGTCGCATTTCAATTAACAAAATAAGCAAAGCCCAAAGAGCCAGCACACAAGTGTACAAACACACGCACACATACATATTAAATATATACATATACGAACGAGCATACGCACAGAGTGGTTTGCGGATTGTGTGGTGCGATTTCGCGCGCATTTTTGCACGTGCCACCGGAGATTGGAATCGGTTATCTGAATATTGGTTATCTGCTGCGTTGGATCCGGATCCGGTCAAGATGTCCGCAACGGAAGTTGGATGTTCCCCCAGTTTAAGGGGTCAGGAGCTCGTCGAGTGCCACCGTTTGCTGGAGCAGCCCAAGTCACCCGCCTTCTCGTACGCCAGCACCACGCTGCGCTCCACGACTTCCGGTCACAGCATCCGCACCAGCAGCACCACCGTTTGCGAGTCACCCGGCGCAGTGGATCACTCCCCCATGGACCACTCCCCCATATCTTCTAATCCCTCCTCTGATATCGATGACGAGGAGGAGCAGGACCTCGAGTGCTGCAGGCGGTGTGCGGAGAACGACCTTGGGGACGCCGGTCTGAGGTACTCCTTCAAGGGATCCCCGCCGGAACTCTACTCACCCAAAAAGGACTTCATCAGCCAGGGACCGCTGCTGGACAGACAGGTAGGTCCTCCAAATCTTAGATGACTAGCGATACCGCCTCGCATTTCACTGCGATCGAATTCGCAGACCGGGATTTTCAACAGCCGACAGCCTTTTGTTTCAACGATTTTTCATTTATTTTTGTTTGTATTCCTCTCTTTTTGCTTCATCGAAATCGGCTGGGCCAGCGAAAAGCAAATTCAAGTTAATTTATTGCATTGATTCCACATCGATGTGTCGAGTTCTTTCCTTTCTTTTATAATTTCGCTTGATTTGTCGATATTTTGGTGTGCTCGTCTCGTTTTTGTATGCCGCATTGTCTTCTTTTTTTCTGCCTTTTTTTTGTCATGGGTATCTTTTCGGTTTTGATTAAATACCGATGGGACACAAAAGAAAGCGACGACGTCGCGGTGGCCGTCGCATTTGAATTCACACGCTTCACTAAACACCAAACGGAAAAGTAGATCTCGATTGTGATTTGATTTTCGGCGACCTCTCCGCTCGACGGATCAAAAGATACTGCAGTCTGCAGAATGCAGCCTGTGTTCGGAAGCACTTCGTTCCAGATCCGAGTGCATCCATAAAACGCTTTGGAGAGAGGGAAAAATAGGGAAATTTGGGGGTTCTTTCACTGAGTCACTGGTGCCATCATCCATTTGCGTCAGTTATGATGGGTTATGCTGATATACTCGACGTGTGTTTCCTTATCCGATTCTTATCGCGATCGCTCTGCAGCAACACTTTTCAGGAAAGTTGAGTCTGCATCTATGGCACATGTCTCACTGAAGACGATAAGAGTAAAAGTTATCTAAGCACCACTCACCGAAAGGTGGCAGTCGGATCAAAAATAAAAGTAATATGGATTTAAGGCAACATACACAGAAAAAAAAGATTTAGATCAATAGGATATTCACTGCTTTAATTGATAATAGAAAGATCAAATTTTAGTTTTTACCTTTGAATAACGTATTTTATATTAAAAATATTTTATTGGTATCTAGCTTTTGCTTATTAATAAATTTGCTTTTATTAATAAATAAATAAATTATTTCCAATATCTTATTGCATTTTTTTTGTGTGCTGTTAATAGACGCCCCTGTTTTAAAAGTATTTAACTTGTATAAACGTCATTTTTCCCATTAGTCAAACCCATCGAATTTACATTCAAATGCATTTCCCTAATGCCACTGCAATTACAGCTGAGCTGGGTGGAAACGGCAGATAATTAAGATTTACAAGGCTCAAAAAGGTGTGAGAAGTAGTCGTTCGGGACGTGACAACAAAAAATGGGGAAACATGCCCAAAACATGGCTAACTGACTTACAGGCCATTAGAATTTTATCAACGTCCGGCGGGCGGGCAATGTAAATTTTTGAAAAACAACACGAACCCGGGGTTCATGAATACATAATACATAATGTTGGGTGCGAATTAGGAAGTCTGTGGGCTATAACCGATACCGATACTGCTGCTGCTGGCCATGTGGAACGTAACCCCCTGGGATTTGATGATTCGCGAATGGGTCTGCTGGGCGTGCTAAAAGCTGCCACATCTATATATATTCTATATATATTCGGCAGGCACATGAGAAATTGTGACATTTTCAGTGCGGTCGGGATCTCTCTGTGCAGTGCTTGTACGAACGAGTATTTTCAAAATAGATTTCCCAATTTTTTATGTGGCGCCTCTTGGCTGCGACGGGTCGTGGGATACTTCGGTGTAAGTACGTAAGTAACGCTCTATCTGTATTAGGGTGCGCTGTCCAATTTGTATTTCGACAATGAAATTTGCACAATGTGTAGAATTTGAATATTTATTTTTTTTCGTGGTTTTTGTTATTGTTATGCTCCGGCTTTTTCTTTTTTGTTTTTTTTTTTTTGTTTTTTTTCTTTGGCTTTTTGACTGGTGAGTCGTACGTCGTCGCTTTGCGCGTGTTTCGCTGTCCCCTTGGCTTCTCGTTATTCATTTTGTCTTCAATTTATTTCGTCTACTTTAAATAAAAATGAAGAAAATTTTTAGCGTTCATTGACTTTAAAAATGAGAGAAAAATAATGCAGAGAAAAGAAGTCTGAAATCGAACATTTGTCAGTCGCCGACATGTTTAACTGATCCCAACGAAGTACCACTCGATATGTGGGTGTTGACGAATTTCTGGTGGCGATTACCACCCGAAACTCAGCGGATGAACTTGGATGGAACCTGCAGAGCCAGAGAATCGGATGGTGGCATACGTGTAATGATCGTGAAGTATTCAGCTCGGCTCCCAGTGATTAATGCTATAAATAACCGATCCGTATGCCGATTTCTATGCAAATTAGGAGGGCGTGGCCGTGCAGCCCTTCGGGTGACAAATAATTTGTCGGAATATTAATGCCGTCTGAGAACAGAAAAGAAACGAGATACAATAGCAAAAAGCCGCGAAATAATTTCAAGTAAAAAAGCCAAAAAACGAACAAATACTTTAAGTGTGATGGCGGGGCGTGACTTTAGGGTGTTGTGCTTATGCTTTGGATGGTTATTTTGAATTTAATTTATATTTTTTCGGCAAAAGATATATACGTGATCTGCATGCAAACACTTGTGCGAAGGCCCGCATCCCCCGCCCCTCTCCCCTCGCTCCTCGGGAAACCACCCACGTTACCCAGAAGAGCAAAGTCCCAATTGCTCATTTTCTGGCTTATGAAAACTGTCAAAATGTTGAAAAAATGCTTATAAAAATTTAAAGATTGTTTTATGAAAGGAAGTCGCAGTGTAGGTACTCTACCGTATTTTATATTTAATATTGGTTACTTTTTGTGTAGTTGCAACAGTAAATTTATAGTATAATTATCTAAAAATAAATATAAAATTATTTTAGGAAGTATTAAAAGTTGAGTTTAGTTTTTCAACACTTTTTCTGCCAATTAAGTATTGACCATAAAAAAGAGTATGGAAAGGCATCATCAAAGCATTCCGGACCTGACAAGTGATTGCTCATTTTAATTAATTCTTTTTTAATTTATCAGTCAAGATTAATGTTAAACATGTTCAATCTGGCTAGGAGTTAGTTTCGGAAACCGAATTCGGCGCTGGCCTAGCCGGGGTTTCTGTGTTAATAATTTAAATATGGATTTTAGCGGCCTTTTTCGGCGGCGTTTTAGCATAATTGGGGGCTAGTGTCCATCCCCGAATGCCAAGTGGAGCCACTCAAGGCGAAAACACCTCTAATGATTACCTGTCCAATTTTTCTTCACATTCGGGTGATTTTTCTATCGATTTTGTATCTTGTGTCTCTGCTGCTCGGTCGCAGGTCGTGAATGAATTTTTCAACAAATTATTTATATATATTTTTTCTGTTTTTAGTAAATACAAATTTGTCTAGCCGCCTCGTCGTGGGCTTACATCAAAAGCCAGAACCGCCCAAAGATCGCAGGCTGGTTTCATCTCGGCTTGATTGTCTTCGGGCCCATTTTAATTCTTTATTTGGCGCTTAGTTTTGGCCCCATCTCCATTGGGACGGGTTAGACTCAAAGCCAAGTTACCTGCCCGTTTCGAGCCTATCTTAATGATTTTTTATTTATTTGCTGCCATTTGTTGTGAGCCGTCTTATCGCGTTTGTGACCATTTCGAGGCAGAGCGTGTAACATCACTTTACATAAATCCATTATATTTTATTTTTAACGACACTCTTTTAATTATATCGCCCCGCTGGTGGCATCATCGCTCCCATCTTCACGGTCAAGGCAGCAAATGCTGGATTATCGATACTGTCGCTTTGCATATAAATTTGGGACTCGAACTCGGACTCGCACTCAAATTCGAACTCACAATCGGACTACTCACACTCAAAACTCGGACGAGACGAGGACGGACTCTTATTTTCGGGGCGGCGCGTCTTTATTCATATGCTAAACTCTTCTGAATTCAGAAGTCAGAAGTGGTTTAGCTGGGCCGACGGGCTCGGCATTTATTTGAAAGCAATTTGGAAACCTTGGGGCATCATCACTTTATCATCGGACGCGGATGGGTGCAGCATAAGCCGAGCGCAGTTCGCGATCTAAATACAAAAAGAAGGTTCCTTAATGGCATCGCCTTTTTTCTGTATTTTTTTTCGCCTTTTTCGTTATTGTTTTATTATTTTCTGGCTGGCTTTTTATTAATATTTGAAGGAGGAGGAATTCGGATATTTGTTGTGGTTTTTAAATGTGTCTGCTGTGCCTTTGTCTCGATTCCCTGGAATTAGACGAGGAATTGTGGTTCTTCGGCTTCGATCTATTCGGGGTGTTATTTATTTATATATATGCTTGTACCCTTTCCTTGGGGTGGCATGATTTATTAATCAATTGACGTCGATGCGATGGCGCATCGCGTATACGCCCCGTGGTCCCATGCAGTTCCTGGCCTCGAGAGCTTACGAAGTTCAGCGGAAACCGCAGCCCCGTTCTTCTGGGAACCCCGAGCAATACCTGACATTTATAAATACAACACATAATCGCATTATTGCCACACGCCCTCCGATTTGGTGAAATCGAATATCGAATCGAATATCATCTCTGCCGCAGGGCATTTAACTAACGGTTTCGACAACCGGGCGGCAACCTAAAACAAAACAGATCGCCATTTGCATAGAAAATCGATTCGAAGTCATTAATAAATCGACCTGTTTTATTTATTATTTATTTACATTTCGCTCACCGCTTTATTCGAATATTTCCGCCTTTACACATTTCATCCGATTTATTTGAGCAGAGATTAAAGCAGGGCAATCTGCCAGGAAATAAATGTTTGTATTACAACATAGTAACAAGTTGATAAGATAATATCTTGCCTTTAAGGTAATATCACCTTGTTGATTAAAACTGCAGTTAAAGATAATAGTTTGCATTTAAGGTAATATCACCTTGTTGATTAAAACTGCAGTTAGATACAGATAATATTTTGCATTTAAGGTAATATCACCTTGTTTATTAAAACTGCAGTTGGATAAAGTCGCATGGTATGATTACACTTTCAGTTACAACCCTCAAAAGGTTTTGTTTGGTAGGGCCTGTAAATCCATTTGCACCTTGAGTCAAAATTGAGGGGTTTTCTGGTCGTATCTGTTAGATTTCACGCTCTTCACAATTCATCTTACATAGACCTAGGACCACCCACGTGCTACCAAAGTTCCAGAGCCCTACGCGAACCTTTATCGTACTCCAGCTCGATCAGCTGGCAGGTGATATATAGGTGTTAATTTACAGTGACAGAAGTGCACGTCACGGCAAATTTGGTGTTTACCCAAATGTTTAGCAACGAATAGTACACACATCTAGAGCCATGTTGCTACTTTTTAGTAGGGAACTTGCAGGGCATGTGAATACACAGAAACATTTGTTGACAGAGAGTGTTTTTTCTGCTTAAAAACAGTGTAGATCATCCTTTTAAAATACAAAATGATGCCAAGCTACTGAAACTAAGCTTGCTTCCTGATACAAGATCCAGAAATAATACCCCTATATATATTCAACATTTATTATGATAGCTTTTAACGGCAGCGCATGACA